GTTTCACATGTGATACCACTTCTTCTTCTTGTCTCTTGTTCTCTCTCACTTCCAGATCTACTTCTATGATACTATCATCAAATTTTACCCCATCTTTCTTTTCTTTAGCAACTTTCTCATTCCTTTTTGTGACAGCATTAACATTCTCATGATTTTTTTGTGCTCGCAACGCTACCTATTGTGCAATCTGTCTCATTTGAACTTCCAAATTTTTTATTGCAGTTGTGGTATTCGTGTAATTACTCCTTGTCTCTTCTTGAAATTGAGAAGTGTGGGCAGCCATCTTTTCAATAGCCACCTCCCATTCTGCTTTTTGTGGAGCTTGTTGCTGTTGATCTTTCCAGGAGAAGTTAGAATGATTCTTCCACCCAGAATTATAGGTGTTAGAATACAGATTATTCTGCTTCAAAATTTGTATCTCCTCAATTTGTTTTGGAGTTGCAAAATAATTGATAGTCATGTGTGGTCCACTAGATATTTCACAACCTGTCTTGTGTGTCTGTTGAACTTGAGCTACATGTTGAGTACCTATGTTCATTGCTTTCAGCTTTTTCTCTACTTCCACGGCAATAGCCTCTTCAATTTTTAATTACTTATTCACTTCCAACTTCAAATCAATCACTCCCTCTGGTTTTCTTACAACTATGTCATATAGCTCCAGAAGCTCATTTGCAGCAATGGCTTCAATAATTTTCTTCACACCAGTGGTTGTTGTAAAGTTGGATGAGCCACCGGCTGTTGTATCAATAAGCTACTTTGTCTTTATTCGGAGGCCATTCACAAATATCTGAATTTGTTCAATTTGATCCATTTAGTGGGTGGGGCAAGCTATCAATAACCTATTGAACCTCTTGTAAGCATCACCTAGTGACTCTCCTTCCTTCTGCTTAAATTTTACAATATCATATCTTTTGCGAATATAAACAGAAGCATGAAAGTACTCATCAGGAAAAGTCTTCTCCATCTGTTCCCAAGTAGTAATACTCTCAGCAGGTAATGAGTAAAACCACTCTTCAACATCTTCAAAAAGCATGAATAGGAACATCCTTAATTTCTTGGCTTCTTCAAAGTGTCCCTCAATCTTCAAAGTAGTACTCGTGGTGAGGAATCTCTGCAAATGCTTATTGGCATCTTCATTGATCTTTCTGGTGAAAGATTTGTTCTCGAGCTGGCGGATGGTTGAAGGGTGCAGTTGAAAATTTGCAATAGTGATCAGTTGATTCACGATAGTCAACCGACCTGTTGGAGCATTTGCTCCTCCATAGTCCCCAAGAAGTCTCTCTGATGATGGTGGATTTTCACCCATAGTTTCGGGTTCTGATTTTGAACCTGAGTCTGTATATCAAAAGGAAATTAAGTTGAGGATTTTCCTCGCATGGAAAGGTTAGGAAAAATCAGTAATAACAAAAATATAAAAATTGTAGAAAAGAAATTTTAGTTGCAGAGCAACAAAATTTTAATTGAACTCAAATTACACTCAGTAACTAGGCAATCCCCGACAACGACGCCAAAAACTTGATGAGAAAAATAGCAAGTGTATTATTTTGCCTCTTGTAATAATAGGGAGATTTCTCGAATGTCGATCTCAAGTACTGCATGCAATTATCAAGTTCAATTCACGTTCAATTAAATAAAAACTTAATTGGGGTTTTGGTTTATGAATTGTCACTTAGCAGAAATAAAAAATAAGCAGAATGTAAATTAGGGCTTTTTCACAGATATGAGGAGCATGCTACGGTATGGTGTATAATTTTTCCTATAACAACCTTGAATCATAATCTCTTCAACAAGTTCATATCCTTCAATTACCAGCCCATTAGATTATCTTCCCCCAAGTCCTTAGTGGGAAAATCTTTAACCATTCATCCTAAATCCTTAGAGATATTTGATGGAGTCAAGTCTTTATTATATCAAGAGTGATCTGATAACTATAGGGTATCCCTAGTCCTAGGTGATATCTACTATAGCCTAATCGTACAAAAACCTTAACAACAGCGATTCAGCTAGTTGTTAACCGTAGATCAATCCTAATTGGTCTGATCAGAAAAGCGTGAAAATATTGCACGATTAAGTTGAATAAGAAAACAACTTTATTAAAGTACTCAGGAATTCATAATCATTACAGATTCAAATCAGGGACCCCCTAGCATTGAGGGGTTTAGCTACTCATATTGTTCAAAATAATCACAAGACAAAATATAGGCATTACAAGGATTGGGATGAACTTTGATCTTCAATTACTTCCGCGCATGAAAATCTCCCGCTCTCCGAAAACCTTGACTTTTTTAATCTTCAGTCATGTAAATTATTCTTCGCTACCTAAAAGTCTCCTTATTCCTTGTGAAAACTCATTAAATAGTCATCATTCATCCAGGTCGGTTGGAAGTATCCAAAACGCCCTCACAACTTACATATGAAAAAATTATGAAAAAAAATCAAGAAATCAACGTCACAGACCAACACGGCCCGTGTCAGGCAACACGGTCGCTCGTGTTGACCCCCAAACTCCCAAATCTTCTTTTTAAGGTCCCAGGGGTTGCAACACGGCCCGTGTCAAGCAACACGGTCGCCAGTGTTGCACCCTTGACTTCCATCTTTCTTCATTCGTCCATCTTGACACGGCCCGTGTCAGGAGACACGGGTGGCCGTGTCAGGCCTCCTGTAGGTGGATCTTTGACTTTCTTTGAAACTCCGAGTTTTTTTTACACTTTTTCGCCCTGAATTATCCTGTTCTATTCTCCTGACCCTGAAAACACTAAAACACACAACCAAAACATAAAATACGCTAAAATAAAATAAAATACTAGACAATAAAAGAAAAAATAATTGCAATTAATGATAAATAATTGTATAAATACCATTGATCACATAACAAGACATGTGGAAACGCATAAGTTTTCTACTAATTCTTTAAAAAAAAACATATTATCTAAAATTTCTAATAAAAATTCGTTCATAGTAACTTAGTTATTAGTTTTTCATGTTAACATTAATATGTGTTAATTAATATATACATTTCCGTGTAATTTATCATATTTTTATTTATTACACTGATTCAAAATCATCAACTTTATAATAAAATATTTTTTTAATATTAAGATATTAAATAATTTATTTCTAAAATGATTATTGTCAAAAATTAAAAATTAAAATATAAAATATATTTTTTGATTCGGCCTTTAAACTTTGTCTTTGTGAGAGTATGAAATTGAACTTTTTTGAATTAATTATTGTTTACTCAAATTTTTTAAAAAATATTTAGGCCTTTTATTTTTGTAATGTTATTTTTCTTTTTCTTGAATTTCTATATTTTTTTAAATCAACAAAAAAGTCTTTTAAATTCTAGAATATGAAGCCTCTTTTTTTAGAGTTTGAATTTGAAATTAAGGAAAAAACAATTTAGATGACTACAATCAAACTAATGGTTTATTTTAGACTTAGTTTGTTTTGATTTTAAAATCTAAACTAGAATATGAACTGAATTTAAATTTGGGCAACAACCCTAAAAATAATTACATCAAATTCAATCATAACTTAAATAAATATAATAAAATATCATTTATATATATAATTTATTTAGTTTACTAATTATATACATTTTAATTAATCTTTTTATTGGACAGATAATGAAAAAAACTAATTCAAAAATAATTTAGAATTTAGTTCGACAATTAAATTGTTAAATTATGTTCATGAATTAAATGAGTTGAAGTCCGTTAACTAAATGAACCGAACTTAAACTATACATGATTCAACTCGTTAGGTTCATGAAACAACTCGAACATATAAAAGAAAGAATATATTATCTTTAAGAGTAGGTTTAAAGATTTACTCAAAATTTTAACTATGTATTTTCTTTTAATCTAACAAATTTAATTAATAATGTATATTCTCAATGAGCAAAATATTTATAAAAACAATTATACAAATAAAATCAACATCATATAAACTTCAATAGAATAGTTTTTGAATTAGACTTTTAAATGTATCTCTAAAATCTACTTTTAAAAATAGATTTTAGAGACATTTAAATTCCAATATAATAATTTTTATTTTATTTCATTATTTTTTAAAAAAAAATATTAATTTAAAATGTCAAATATATAAAAATAAAAAAAATTTAAAAAGTATTAATTTAAAATGTCTATATATAAAACAAAAAAATAGGTTTTTAAGTATGTGAAACAAGTGATATAAACATAATGAATGAATCTAACTAATTGAACTGACATAATGAATGAATCTAACTAATTGAACTGAATTGTTCGTGAACTTATAATAAGTTGAATTTAAACTTAAACAAAAGTTCAAATTGAACTCGATCTGAGATTTGAGTTGAACTAATTCTTAACAAATCTTGTCGAACTGAGATGAATTGGAGTTGGCTCGACTCATTTCCAACCTTAATCTTCTATTAAGATTATATATTGAAATATCATAAACGATGTCATCTTCCACGTTCAAAACTATATACCAAAATATCATATATTTTGTAATTAGTTTCTTAATCATATACATTTTAATAAATCTTTAGATAGGTCTATTGTATTATCATCGCTGTCATATGGATCAATCTCTTTAATTTATATATGTTTATCATCATCTCCAACTATGACATCACTTGAGCACGATGGAATTCGATATACCTAACCATTTTAAAAATATATATACATGCCAACTCGATGTTTTTGGTTGACAATTTTTCCCCGTAGTGGACTTGTATTATACAATCTTTCTTTAAATACCTCTCTACCAAAGTAGGTTATGATTGCCACACACAAGCAACAATAACACAATATAAATTTTAAATTGAAGCAAACTTATATGCATGAAATGAATATTACGCCAAATCAATAGAGCTTCGTTAAGCTTTAAGAAGGTGGAAGAAGAGCGTCAAGGACGATGCAACTTTCTTGTATTTACACAAATATTGAAAGACATATAAGCCCAACTTACTGGGTTCAGTTGTGAATGAGCAATTACTAAATGGTTTAAAACGTCTACCTCAAAGTCATTAAAAGGAGGCATACATCTATCAAAGAAAACAAGCATTCGTACTTACTACACATCCTTTTGTCCTCTTCGGGAGGAAGCCATCCCCAGTCTAAAGATAGACCCACTTCAGTAAAGGCGTGATCTAGGCCGCCTTCACCAACGAAGGCATAGACAGTGACCAATTTCTCATAATCCGCCCACATAGTGGAGTTATCCCCTATATTCTTTCGGGATTTGAGTTGAGAGTTATCCATGTCAAAAGAGGTTGTCAACACGTGAAAGAAATGATCGTAAGAAAAAGAACAAGGTTGATGAAAAGACAAACTTTGTGCCACACCAAAGTTCATCTAAGAGAGTTCACCGAGGTACGAAACAAAAAGGACTAAAACCCTATGAATCTCTTCCCCCAAAACCATAATAAAGCAAGTAAGTATGAAAAAAATGAAATGCTCAGATAATAAAACAAATTTAGTGACCACACGATATACACTTCGCTAAAAGAGGTAAAATATCTATGTCTGAGATAATGACTAATGAGAGGAGGTTAGCGAAGATAAAGGAGGTTACAGGCGCAAGAGAATAACTCTCAGAAGTTCATGAATGGCAAAAAGAGGTAAACGGTAACTCCAAGACTCCTTGTATGTCCCTCAAAGAAAATGAATTGTGTGATCCACGATGTTGGGAAGTGTAAACTACAACACTAACGGTTAAAATCTCATCGCACAGTGTTCAAGAACGCTCAAACCCTAGTATTATACAGAACCATTATCGACAACAAGTTGAGATGTGCATGCAACATGTTTCTAATCATAAGGGAAACATTTAGTGGTTATCTTCCAAATGACACCAATGTCCCATCAAGACTCTTATATCTTCCTTTATCAGAGGTCAGACTGAAGTCGAGGTCGTCAAAGTCCTAGCTCTACGACGTAGAAACAAGAACTTGGGGGACAATTGTTCTAGATCATTTGCAAGGCCCACATAGAAGTCCCAGTAACAAATGTTGAAGAGAAACACATACAGAACAGGTGGATCCTCATCCTTGTCGAGGACACACGATCGCGTCCTTCATTACATCTCTCACTGTTGAACTTTGTCGAACGACAAACATCATAAGGCACTAGATTACATGCAAGCGGTTTTAACCGTCCATGCTATATAAAGACCAGATTGCACCATTCAAGTATTCAATTCATTCTCACTCTAAAACTACTTTTCATTCAGCCACTAACTTGGGCATTTAAGTTCTAACATAGCAAGTCTACCCCTTCTCCGCGGTATCAAAAGTTTGCTCCACTGTACCAAAACTTTATTCCATCACTTCAACACATTTCTTATTTCTTAACGGAAAATTTGTGATTTTGCTTTTGGAATTTGTTCCACAATATTTTAGGTTGGTTGTGTTGTCATTATGTTCTCAGAATTTTTTTCTCCTTTAGGCCCTATGTGGTGATGAGAAGGAATAAGAAATCAAACGGGAGCTTGATGTTTATTTGGCAAGCGATCGGTGTGGATGGCAACAAATAACCGTTCATAGGTGCTCCAGAGATGTAGGAGATTAGCCTTAATAGTCCTTCACATGCTTTCATGTTCATGTGGTTCACTTTGTGGGTTGATTTTTGAGACTTCCTGACACTGATTAGCCTTAAAATCCAACTCAGAAAAAAGAAAAACCACCGTAACTTGAATCGATTCAGGTGCTCATATTAATCAAAATAAGTGAAATAGACTTGAATCGATTCACACCTTTTCTTTGCCTCTCATTGCTCCCATCCCCGACTCGAAAAATTAGTCTCATGCACGAAGATATCCGATTTATTCAACAAATAAACATTTTCCATGGTCAGAAAAAGCAAAGTAAAACTCCCATGTTCATAAAAAGTTGAAATCACTTATCTTTTGTTTATAAATATACCATTTCTTTCATTCAAAAACATATGAAAAGAGTTTTCAAAGGTTCGTCAAACATTAAAATCAACCTGTAACATTCAAAGGGTGGAAAAGAAGTAACTTATATACCTCATTCGCTTTTTCCAAACAACATTTCCAAGCTATCAATTTTACTTTCTTTATTTTGATCGGTTACCGGAGGAGATGAAGGCTTCTTGTTATTGACAGCCAATCTCAGTCGTAAAGGTCGGCCTTGAACCTCCTGAAAAACATTATATTATACATACAAAGAAAGTCATTACATAATTACATTGAGATATCACAAGATGAACAAAAGTTGCAAAACTGATAATTGAAAAAACTTGTCCGTACCACGCCGTTCATAGCATCCAAAGCAGCCTCTACATCCTCAGCGGTTTTGAACGTAACAAACCCAAATCCGCGAGATTTTCCGGTGTTCCTTTCATAGATAACCTTGGCACTTAGTAAGCCTTGCTGCTCAGCAAAGGCTTTTTTGAGAACCTGAGAAGTCATATCCCAACCGAGGTTTCCGGCATAGATTTTGTGAGGGCTGTCTACGTAACCTTTATAATTTGATCCCATTCGTACACTTTTGCCTACTTTAGGCACTTCTGGGAAGTTGACCTTAATAACCCTACCTCCAACATTCTGTTCACCATCATAGCCATTGCCATTAGAATTGAGTTATGTTGTCAGTAGAGTGGTAATTGACAATTTGGAAAAGAAAGCCAATTCGACGAGAATCACAGTTGAACAATTGGTCAACTTGGATTGAAATATTTGAGCTTATCAACTGACTACATATTCATAAGCTATTTCTACATGTCCATTAAGATGTTTACAATTTCACAAGTTCTTCATGATAGCTTATGAAAACAGTCTATAGCTTATTAGCTTCCATTAAGAAGTTTCACTTTTGTTTGATTTTTGTTATAGAAATAGCTTATAGATAAGCACTTGTGTTATAAGTGCTTAATTAAGCCATTTATCCAAACAAGGCCTAATTTCTACTCAAAATGATAAGAAGACAAGAAACATGAAATTGGTCCTAACTAATTTCAGCAACCGAGACTTACAGTGCCCTCAAACATTCGAATTGCTTCTTCAGCCTCCTCCGCGCTCCCCATTGTAACGAATGCAAATCCTCTGCTTCTATCCGCAAGGTCATCATGCACAATCTGCATAACTCAAACCAAACAGAAAACCCAACCCAAATCAAAAATCACCACAGTATTATCCCAAAAACAAAAGACCTTAAATTTAACAACAGGAGGAATGACTTTGATTAAAATTTTGCAATTTCGGGAGTAAAATGATAAAGTTTTATAAACCCTAATTTGGGCATTTCCTCAGTTATCGATCAAACAATAAAACAGTGATAAAAACTGAAAAGGGTTAGGAAAGTTTCAGACCTCAACAGACACAACATTTCCGGCTTCTCCAAAGAGTTGAGCCAATTGGGAGGAAGACAACGAAAATGGCAGGCTACCAACAAAGAGTCTGTTTAATTGCGACAATTTTGGCTTCCGTAAGGTTTTAATTTCAGTTTTAGGATCATATGCTTCTTCTTCTTCTTCTTCTTCAGTGTATTCGAATTGTTGGAAGGAAAATGAAGGTGCGCAAAGAGGGTAGAGTTTGAAAGAAGAAGGGTTGAATGATTGGGGATTTAGTCTGAGGGGTTTTGAGGATATGGTTGGTGTTGTGTGTGGGAAGTTAAAGGTGTGTGAAATGGGTGAATGGGTAAAGGAGAAGTTGAAGAGTTTGTGGTAGTAGACCGGGGAGGAAGCAGTGGTTGCACCAGCCATGGATGTCTTGCTATGTTCAAAAACTTGTACTTTTATTTGTTTTTTATTATAGAATAAATTTTAAGTTTGAAAAAAAATTTAAATACACTTTTTCATCCTTCTATTTTCAACTTTCTTTAAGTTTTAGTCTTCAAAATAATTCTTTTGGTCTTTAAATTTTTTTCTCATTTGTTTCTTTTCTAATTTTATATAGTTAACAATAATAGTTAAAATAAAAAATTATTTTTTAATGATGTGTCAATATTGATTAGGATAATTTATTAATTAATATTTTTTATTTAATCAATAAATATTTTTAATTAATAAATTATTTATTTTATTGAAGTTTATTTAAAAATTATTTAATACAAAAATGGGAAATTATTTAATACAAATTTTTAAACGAACCATTTTAACATTATAAAATAAGACTCATATAAGTAGAGCCGTCTCGCAATCACACAAGTTGACATTTGGTGTTACTAATGTGTGTTATATAAACACTTAAATTTACTTCAACTCAAACAATGTGAGACTTGTTTCCTCAATCTTGAAGCCTGCATCATCATTTTTCTCAATTTTTTTTACCTTTTTGCACTATCATCTTCCTCAATCTCTTTCACTGCAATATCAACTTCTTCCATGTAGAACCTTATTGAACCTTGTGAGCCACCACGTATGCACTTGCTTGATAAGTATGTTGTATTTATTTTGATTCTATGATTAGTTTCCAACTTGTTTGGCGTATAAAATTTTATTTTGGAAAGCTAAATGATTAAACATTTTGTTAATTGATGTTGATCTGACCTGATCAGACTTGGACCGTCACGGCTGGCTCCGAGCTGAAGTTTTGAACGAGGTGGGGGTACCTGCAAGGCACTCCGATGCTGAAGTAAGTAAGAGCACGAGCAGGCAAGAGTATGAGTATGGGTAAAAGAATGAATACCTGACCCTCTGGGAACAGAGGGTATTTATAGCCCTCAGCGTTGGGCCAAGGTTCCTTCATTGGGCCGGGCAGGTTTGACCCAATGGAGGAACTGCCAGGTTCTACGTGCGTAGTAGGGGCCCGCCCGTGGTCCCCTTCCTGGATGTTCTGCGTGAAGTACGGACGGACGAGGACGCGGTCTTTTCGGGATCCAGGTGATGGCGTAGTGGATAGAGTCTGCCCTAGGAGGAATGCTCGAGCTGAGGTCGAGCAGGATAGCATGGCGTCGAGGATGTCGCACTAGCAGAGAATGTTGGGCAAGGATATGGGCTTTTGATCGGCGTGACCCCTTGCAAGACCGTTTGGATTGGGCCTTCACCATTGCTTTTGGGCCAGCCTGGCCCAGTCCAGAACAGGAGCCCCCCAAGTCGTGGTTCCTGTAGTAGGAGCCATGACTTGATCTTAGGTCGCATGCGTCACGGGGTCCCGTTCCCGGCTCGAATATGTCGTTCCCGCGGCTTGCTCGAGGAGTTTTCCCCGTGTCGGGCATACGAGATAATACCGTGCGAGGAGCGCTCGGGGAGTCTCGACGGGCTGCGCTCGTTGGGCACATGAGGCATCTCTTGGGAACCGTGCCGCCACCCTACTGACGATAGGGTCATCATTGCCTAGGGGAGCTACACGTCGAGGAGGGAAATTTTGTGGTTCCCCGGGGTGACGTTTGGTATTCCACGTCATCACTATAAATAGGGTGTTTGGGCCCCATAACGTGTTTTCCCTGTTCGCGCTTCTCCTCTTCACTCTGTTTCTGCTGTTGCTGTTCTTCCCAGATACTCATAGGACCGCCGTGATCTCCGTCGCTGATTTCCTTTCTCCGTCGTCACATTACCTTCCTGATTCCAAGTAAGTGTCTTGTCTCCTTCGTTTTTCCTCTGTGATGCATGATTTTCATTGTTTTCAGACGTTTTAGAGACTGTACGCCTGGGATTAGCCTGGTAGATTTATATTTAGCTCGACAAATCCATGTTTATGCCCGGCGAATGCGTGTATGCGCCCGGTAAACGCATAATTTAGGTATTTGACTCGCAGTGCTGCCCGGGGACTTCATGACTCAGGGCGCCTAATTCTTGGTAGTGCTCGGTAAACTCATGGCTCTAGTTTTGAGACCCATGACGTCGCTCGCCACGTTCATAGCCTGGGTCGACACATTCGTGAGTGGTCGAGATGTTGGCCTATTCAGGCGATCTGTAGCTTGTCGTGGTGACTGGGAGTCGGGGAGGTGACTGCTCTTTTTTGTTCCGAAACACCAACTTTGTGGTCGCGCGAGGAGCGACGTGGTTTGTCGTGCCCTTCATCTCATCCGTTATGGCGAGCGTGTGGTTTCGCTCCCAATTGATTGGTTTCCCGTGCTTTGTAGGTAACCATGGCGGACGAACCGTGTTCTTCAGGGCGCACCGAGGTGGAAGAACAAAGTGTTGATGAAAATGTGAATTTGGTTGACACCATAGAGGACCCTCTGCTAGAATGGGTGGGTGCCGAGCCCAGAGGGATAGCTTCGGCCTATAGTCGACGTAGTCGAAGGGCATACACCATCCTCGAGACGGGCAGTAGCCAGCCCGGTTTCCAGAAGAACTTCGTCGTCACTCGACCAACTTTCACCGCACGAATCTGCTCGGAGTTCCCCGAGTATGGATTCCCCATGTATGAAATTGCCTTCAAGGACCTTGGGTTACAGCTGCCCTTCAGCGATTTTCAGGTCGGGGTCTTCAGCCATCTGGGGTTGGCCCCGTCGCAGCTTCACCCAAATTCGCTCGCTTTCATCCGGGCGTTCGAGCTAACTTGTCGGTTTCTAAGGATTGGGGCGACCATACCCCTCTTCTTCAGAGTCTTCCACCTACAGCGCCAATCTCGGGGAGGTAAGCATAGTTGGGTTTCCCTGAAACAGTCGAAGAGACTTTTCAGGATGTACATGGATTCCGTGCGGGGTTTCAAGGACAAGTGGTATATTGTGAGGCCGGTTACCACAACAGGTTTAGAGTCTGTGTATGAGGAGGAAACAGTCGTAACCGACGACCACGGGAAAGCCCTTTTAGACAACGAGGGACATCAGGTGTTAGGGTGCGTGGCCAAATTTCCCTTGCATTGGACCTCGAGGCACTACGAGCATGGCACCGGGTACTACCATACGTCCGTGGGCGAGATGAGCTCTGAGGACGAGAAGGCTTATGGTACTCTCTGTCGGTATGTCGACAGTTTCTTCCCCGCCAGATGGGCCACGAGGGAAGGGGAGGATATTCTTGACGAGGAAGGTTATCCGACCTTCGAGGCCCGACCGATTGACACGAAGGCACTTGTGGAGTGCCAGTCCTTCGGGCAAGCTGCGAATTTGCTAGGTCGTTATTGTTTTGTCTTGTTTGAATTTATTTACTTGTTATTTGTTCGCTTATTTGCTCGTCACTAACCCGGGGTTCTTTCATGCAGGTCTGATGGCCGGACGAAGGGAGAGGCTCTTGAAGTTGTCTTGTGACATGAAGGTAAATAAGAGGGTGGTGAGAGCTCCTCAGACAACGAGGATGGGCCTGCCACATAGTCCGGACATTTCTCAAGCGACGAGGATGGACTCGCCACCTAGCTCGGGAGCTGCTTCGGGAGGGATCCCGGACGTCCAGGAGGTCGAGCCACACACCGACCTGATACAGAGGAAGAGGAATCGGGTGGAAAGTCAACCGGAGGTCGGTGAGGACTCCAGCGCTGTGAGGTCCTTCGGGTTGCCCCCTTGCTTTAAAAAGGAGGGTTTCTTCGAGGGGTTTCCCTTGTCCGTGAGTGCTGATGAAGCCGAAACTATTAGGCGGATGAGCAAGGAAAACCGGAGAAGGCACCTGGCCGCCAATATGGTCGGGATGGTAAAGATGGCCAAGATGGCCGTTGTGCTGGCCGAGGAGGGGGAGGACTCTGACCGTATCAAAGAGTTGGAACAGGAGAAAGCTACCCTCACCTCGAGTTCGCGAAAGTTGAAGGCTGCTCTGGAGCGCTCCAAGGAGATGTTCCGCGAGCAAGCCGAGTTGCTGGCGGCGGAGATAGAGTTGCTGGCTCTGGAGAAAGAGAACTCGAGGAAGCTGGCTGAGGAGAGAGACCTTTTTCGTGCGGACCGGGAACGTCTGGAAATCGACAACGGGCGCCTCGCCAGAGAGATCGAGGAGCTAAAGGCCGTTATGCTTCCTGCCGAGGACGAGTCGGAGGATACAGCTCCTTTGAGGAGTCGATCAGAACTGGTCGCTCGTATCCAACTTCTCGAGAGGGACTGTGTCGGAGCTATGGCGGACGGCTTTGAAGCCGCGGTCAACCAGCTTTCCCTGTTGAATCCCGGCCTGAACACTGAAGGGGTGAGCCACATGTCTCAGATCATTGATGGTCAGGTCGTGCCTCCGCCCGACTCTCCTGTTGTTGGTGATGATAGCTCCGGGGAATCTGAGTTGTGAGATAATGATGGGGCCTGCGCGCCTCGTTGATGTTTGTTTTGGGCCTGCGTGCCCGTTCATATTTTTTGGGCCTGCGTGCCCGTTCTTTGTATTTCCTGAACATTACCGGCCTTCTTGGTCGGTTTACATCTATTTGCTTTGTTGCCTACGGGCATTTTGAATGAATGTTTGTTTCAATTTTTTGAATGTTTGCCCGTGCTTGTGTTTTACGTTTTTGCGCAAAAATTGGCCTAAGTCATGGGCCCGAGTCGTGCCCGTATATGGTTGTGACTTTGTTGGCAAATTTGCCTAAGTCTTTTGTTCGTGTATGTGCTCGGCCTCTTCTCGATGGCCAGAGTCGCCTAAGTGGTGAACTCGAGGGGAGAGACTCCTTTTTGACCCTTCTAGATGGCCCGACATTCTTTGAGATTCGTCGGGCGTGCGGAGCGAAGCCGCTTGGTCGGGTATATGACCCGGATCGGGGTTATTTGCCCGCGGCGTTAACTGCCCATCGCGAGCTGGGTGTTCTGCCCTACAGGTACTTCGACGTTGGAGCTCGATCGAGGTGTCCACGTCAGGCGCTATCGTTTGTTCTTGTCTATTGAACGATGTTATGTGGTTTGGACGTAGGTCGGGCC